ACCTAGCTTAGTTAAGTCTCCGTGAAGTTCTTCACAGCCCTCTCTGGGGCTGACTAACCTAGACAACTTTGTCTCATCTGCAAATTTTGTTATCTCACTACTTATCCCTTTTCCAGATTGTTAATAACTATATTAAACAACTTGGGACCTAGTACAGAACATTGAAACCCCTGTTGTTAACCTTTTGCAAGATGAAAGTTAACCATATAATCCTACTCTTTGCTTTCCATCTCTTTGGCATCTCTTTGGCGGAAAGCTTAAAGACTTCGGAGGCTGTAGTGCAGAACTCTTCTATGAGCACAACCCTGTGAGAAGCTAGGTACCTCCTACAAAGTATTGAGTGTCCTCTTCTCCTTCTGAAGTCAGTAGGTGCAGGAGATCACAGGTCTTATATGAAATACAAGGATCAGTTTCTGAGTTAAGTTTTGCACTAGGTTTCCCAGACCAAAGACCTAGCTTGAGGACTTGCCTTGGCTCACAAGTGAAATGAGCTTGGCAGTTGGTCTTATCCTCAGAAAGACAGTTTGGTATGATATCGCTTTGGCTTAGGACAGTAGTAGTAGGGAGGCCAAGACTGAGAAGCAGTGGCAGAGCTGTGTGAGGAAATTGCATACCATTTGCCTATGTTGTGCCTTGTCCCAGCTATCGTGGTCATAAGCACTGACTTATTATGGTTCTGCCCACAGTGGCCTCCGTGTAAAGTGCTTATTCAGTTGCACTTATAAGACTGTAGTTTGTGGAATCGCTTGGATCAAGTTGACTCAGCACCAAAAGGATATCTGGATTGTGATTTGGTTTATCTGAAGGAGGAAGGAAGTTGCCTGTGGAGAAGATGGCACCTGGATTTCTAAATACTTTCATCTTGCTGATTGGTGCACATGGACAGCAGCTGAACTGTTGTTGTTTGGAGAAGACCATAAGCTTCAGCCCAAGCAAATATGTGAAAACATGTCAAAGAAGCCTATAAAGAAACTGAATTAGGCTGCAAAGTGATTGTGCATTGTCAGCTGGAGCTGAGGTTGCTGCTGCTAGAATTTATTTTATTCTTCTGTTGCCAAGCAACCTTAAGACTGTTGTCTTATTGTACAGTAATTTCATGAAGTAAATGAACACTTGCAAGTTGACTTTACTTGCTGGTGCATAGCTATGATCAGATTAGCTGATCAGACAAAATTACGGCAGCTAGATCCAGGCAGCCGTCTCAGATTTTAGGGCTAGCTTTCCAGGAACCTGGTGACCACTTGCAACAATAGTAGGGTCATCTGTGGGTAATGACCACTTTGTAACTATGCACCTGATTTAGGGCATCAGTGGGAATGGAAGCTGGGACCTCTAGATCTAAAAGCGTGAACTCTAGTGCAGGGATTGGCAACCTATGGCACGCGAGCAGATTTTTAATGGCAGGCTGCTGCCTGCCGGGGTCCCAGCCGCCCCGGCAGCAGCGTGCCATTAAAAATCCTGCCCGCCCCGGCCCGCTCTTCTCCACCCCCCCTCCCCTCCGTGGGGGCAGGATGAAGAAGCTTGGTCCTGCCGGCTACTGCTGCAGGGCAGGCAAGCTCCACCCTCCCCCGCCTCTTCCCCCAGCGTGCTGGGTTCCTGCCCCCCCCCCCGCCACTCATCAGCTGATGGCCCTTGCGAGAGAGGGGGAGAAGTGGAGCTGCAGCGTGCTCCCTGCTCCGGGGAGGAGGCGGAGAAGAGGTGGGGACGGGGCCGTGGGGAAGGGAGGTGGAATCAGGGCATAACCCCTCCAGCCCCCTGCCATGAGCCGCTCAGGGCAAGGGGCTGGGCGCACCCCCACGACCCCAGCCCACACCCCAAGGCCTCTGCCCTGACTCCTGAACCCTCCTCACACACCCCCACACCCTATGCCCTGACTCCTGCACCCCCCTCACATACCCCCAGCCCTCTGCCCTGATCACTGCATCCCCCACAACCCTAGCCCTGACCCCTGCACCCCCTCACACACACATCCAGCCCTCTTCTCTGACCCCTGCATCCCCCCAGGACCCCAGCCCTGACTCCTGCACCCTCCTCACACACCCTCAGCCCCCTGCCCTGACTCTTGCACCCCCACACATACGCAGCCCCCCCACACCCTGTGCCCTGACTCTTGCACCCCCCACGTTCCCACCCCCACCCTGAGCACCAAATGGGAGCTCCTGTGAACCCCACCCCCCACATTCCTACCTGCACCCTCACACCAAATGGGAGCTGCCCAGGTAAGCACTCCACACCCCAACCTCCTGCCACAACCCTAAGCCCCCTCCCTCATTCTAGCTCCTGGCCAGACTTTACACCCCAACCGCCAGCCTGTTCCTTCACCCCCAGCCCTGTGCTCAGTGCGCTCCCACCCCCAGCTCAGTGCAGAGAGAGACAGAGGAAGAGAATGGGCTAGAGCCAGGGAGAAGGTATATGTGGGCAGGGCTGGGATCCCAGACTGGCAGGGGGCTAAACGGGGCTAGCAACCGGGACGCTGGCTGGCAGGAGCCAGCGGACGGAACCCCAGACCGGCAGTGGACTGAGTGGCAGCAGGCTCAGCCGCTCAACCCACTGCCAGTCTGGGGTCCCGGCCGCCGGCCCCTCTCAGCCCACTGCCGGTCTGGGGTTCTGACTGCCGGCCCCTTGCCAGCCGGGGTCCTGGCCGCAGGCCTCACTCAGCCTGCTGCCGGCCTAGGTGAACGGAACCCCAGGCTGGCAGCGGGCCGAGCGGGCCGGCAGCGTAAGATCAGCATTTTAATTTCATTTTAAATGAAGCTTCTTAAACATTTTGAAAATCTTGGTTACTTTACACCTGACAATAGTTTAGTTATATAATATATCGACTTATAGAGAGAGACCTTCTAAAAGACGTTAAAATGTATGACTGGCACGTGAAACCTTAAATTAAAGTGAATAAACGAAGACTCGGCACACCACTTCTTGAAAGGTTGCCGACCCCTGGTCTAGTGCTTGAGCTAAAGGACCAGGTCCATTAAATTCGAAGCAGCAGCAGATGCAAAACCTCTTACATGATGCAGCTGCTAGAGAGGGACAAAGAGCCATATTCTGCCAACATTCAGTATGCTTAGATCCTGACCTTTAAAGGATATGCACCTCTAAAATCACTAATATATGTAACCCATTTTATTGTAAGAGGAATTAGCACAGCTGAGTATGGTGAAAACACCAAAAATAAAGACTTTTCATTTTCAGTAACTGCCTTATAAGTACTTGAAACCTTAGAAATAATAGGACTATGCATAGACACGGGGAGCATGCCCAGGAGAAGGGATGCCACCATGGTCAGAGATTTTCTTATCCCTTGCAGTTCTCTGTTCATATTGCTGTCCGATGGTTAGTTTAGTCAAGATGCTTTTAACCTTAAATATCAATTCATATTTTAAATAGGAGGATGGTGTCTCCAGACCTCATAAATTGCTCAGTTCTGGGCTGGGCTCAAACTCCTGCTGAATTTAAATTGGCCGTTTCCCCTGTAAAATGAGTTTCTCCAGAATGGAAAGTCAAAAGGCATGAATATGTATGCGCTTTATGTTGTTTTTTTAGGAAAAATCTCCAGTGGTAACAACTTTCAATAAAGAATTCTTTAACTGGCTACATGTTGAAAACATTCATAGATCTAGAAGAGGCACTTACATGAAGCTGCTGTGTGTATAGCCTTTGAGAGAGACTTTCTCTTCCTATATAAAAAGAAAAGGAGGACTTGTGGCACCTTAGAGACTAACCAATTTATTTGAGCATGAGCTTTCGTGAGCTACAGCTCACTTCATCGAATGCATACAGTGGAAACTGCAGAAGACATTATATACACAGAGACCATGAAACAATACCTCCTCCCACCCCACTCTCTTCTGCAGTTTCCACAGTATGCATCCGATGAAGTGACCTGTAGCTCACGAAAGCTTATGCTCAAATAAATTGGTTAGTCTCTAAGGTGCCACAAGTCCTCCTTTTCTTTTTGCGAATACAGACTAACACGGCTGTTACTCTGAAACCTTCCTATATAAGTGTACCCAGAAGATAACGTCTGTTGGTATGAGGGAAGCTATAGCTGATGTCTGCTACTTAGGGGCTGAAAAGAACAGCCACAAAATAGTCCTGCCATTAGGAACAAAGCTCTCTGGGTCTTGGTGTTTATGTGACAAACTCTCTGAGCTGGAGTGTCTCTGTTTTCTGAAAACTCATGTCATTTATTTTGAAATCTTAGTGTTCTCTTATCCCTTTCCTTATTACTTATCCTGCACTCGCAAAGCGTTAGAGCCATGACGCAATCGCTGACCTGCTACAGTCTATTAGAATTAGTGTCGTTGAGCTGCAGTTGTTAAGTATGGCTGCCTCGGTTGTGGGTGACAGTGTGCTGTGTGTTGCAAGTGAAGGGAGTCAGCTGTGTGAATTCCCATTGCTTTGGTAAGATTTGACGTATTCAGCCTGATTAGAGCTTTGCTCACAGAGATATAGGACATCAGTGTGGAGCAAGTCCTTGACCCTGCTTCAGTTGGTTGCCCCTCTGGATTCCTGATCAGAGGTGGTGGTAAAGGGAGTCTGATGAGAGATTTCATGTTTCCGTTTAATCACTCTGTTTTTGGCATGTATTCTGTGCCATCATCATGGTGTCTGAGCATCACGTATGTCAGAGCTAAGTAGCCCCGTTCCTTAATCCTTTAGCAGTGGTAGTACTTGTCCGCAAAATCAGCTCAGACTTTCATGTCAGAATGCTTTTGGATTTGGGTGAGGTACTGCCTCTGTACCTCTGTGAACCAGGGATTCTCGCAGCTGACTCCAGAAGGATTTCAGGTCTAAGCAGATATTACCATTTGTCTGAACTGTTAGCTTCCTCTGCGTTTTCCGCACTCTTCTTTCACTTAAACACTGAAGGTATTTTACACATAAGCGAATGGGATGATGAACGGGGAAAGACTTGTAACTCCCTTTGTATAGTGGTTTATGACACCTCTTTTGCTCTGTAACACTTACTCTCCCCCACCCTGGCTTTTCCCAATCAGGATTGTCTGAACTGGAGTTGGGAGTCTCTGATCAACAGTTTGGACAGCCAGGAATGGGTGACCAGATTCCATGGGCAGATAACACCATGGCCTCCATGAATCGAGTATCTTTGAATAAACCAGACGAGTAAGTACCATGGGTTTGGATAATCTGCCTTCCCACCACCCCACCCTCCTCTAGCCTCTTATGGTATATTTTTAGTAGGCTTACCGTTTGTTGTAGTTCTGTGGATAGAGATTGCTGTGCCCACCCTTGAGTAAAGGTCCCTGTGGGCACATACACAGAGCGAGTGTCAACCCACGGCCATGAGTGTCAAAGCCCAGGTAGACAGTCTGAGATTTGCACTAAAAATAGCAGTGTAGAGGTTTGGGCTCAGGCTGAAGGTTGGGCTATGAAGCCCGCCCACCCACCTCCTTAGGCTTCAGCTAATTTTAATGCCATAGCATGAGCCCGTCTGTCAAACTAGGCTCCGAGACTTGCTTTCACTGGCTGTGAAAGGCATACCCATAGAAGTTAAACTTACGTGAGGTTTGTTAAGTGATCAGACAGCTCAAATGTTGGCCATAATAAGATGTCCTGATATTCTCTAGTCTGATGCACTTGGCTGAGAGTCGAGGGAGAGGAATGTTTTCACCATAGCTAGTTAAGTCTGGAGGAGATACAACAGCACAAGGGTGAAATTCACACCTGTATGGAAGGGCCAGCCAGCACAGTCAGAACATCTCTGAGGCACAGGCTTTGTGCTGGCCCTTTTCACCCTGTGTCAGTACGAATAATATTAGTGCACTGTCAATGATGAAAGGTGTCTCACAGACCAGATACGCTGAAATCATTATTAAGACAGTGTGAGGGACAAAGATTTTTTCCAAATAATGAAGGATAGTCCATAGTCCATTAATTTAAGCTGCTGCCACCTTGTGGTATAGTTATAAGGTTGCAAAAACTCTGCAGGCAGAAACTTTTCTTTGACCTGAATTGAGGCAGAAGGAAGGTACTGTACAATTCTGCTTGAGGAAAAACCTCTGAATAGGGTTTTCCATTTAGCTATTAAAATAGCTGCAGTTGGGCTTCCTCAGCGGTGACTACATCAAGGCTTGTGATGGGGAGGTAAACAGTCTGCTAAATGACCAGCTGTGCTCCTGAAGGAGAACAGAACATTAAGCAATAAGGTGGAGCTGTTGGAATAGAATTAGGACAGAACAAAATAGTTTCAATGAGGCCTTTCCCCAGGAGCAATGGCCATAAATAAAATAAAAGTACTTATTAAAAATTTCATTATATGTAAACTCACAAAGCTAACCAGGGGACTAGAGAGAGCCTGTCTGTCACGCATGCTACATCTGATGCCCAAATACCAAGGGGATGGGTGCCTTATGGGGGGAAGGAAGCAGAGGGTGAAATGGCTTCCAGCAACGTTAGGAGTAAATGTGACACTGCCTCTTTGTATGTGAAAGCAGCAGCACCGGGAATCGTGGAGAGTAGGCAAACTGCGGTCTTGTGTTTAAGCCATTGAGGTGACAAGGGTGGGAATTTTGCCATTGCTAATAAGATAGCCGTGACATTGATTGGGAAGAAGATCCCAATAATTGTAAACAATGGCCACCAGAGGCAAAGTGGTGAGCCTTTCGCCTAGTCCAGAGGGCTTTTCTGGACCAAAAAACCCCAAAGGTCTCACTCCAGCCCTCAGCAGAGCTTTAAATAAAATCAGATGTCTGTGTAGAGGCTCTTAAACTGCTGGAGCTGTGTGTGTGACAGAATCTGATTACAGGTTACTGGCCGCATGCTCCAGTTTTCAATTTGACAGGCCCTATTAAAACTCAAATTGAACTTCATATGTAAAGCGTATATGGTTATATTTGTTATGAACAGAGCGTTCCCGTGAGGGATGTAAGCCTTGCTCTGCTGCAAGATACATGTTAACTAGAGTGTGACAGAGCTGCTGTCTTCACATTACAAAGCTGGTGGGTCTCTGGATCGATGTGTAGCAGTTTGTGGTCACTCTGAGCTGCATGTCTTTAGAAGACTTGGGGGTTTCTTTCTGTGCTCTTCTGTACACACGAGGAAGACATAGGGAGGCTAAGGGGGTTCTGTTCCTGGCTGGATTGTTTCCCGTGAACCATTTTGCTGGAACATATCAGCAGCTTGTTAGAAATGTGTCTGGGACCTGTGATTTTTCTGAGGAATAATAGTCCCGTTAGCATAGGGCTTCGCGTTTGTGTTGCCACACACAGAAATCCCTTTAAGAGATGACCTGCAAGAAGTAAAATAGCATATCAACCCAGGGGCATAACGAGCAGGCTATGTAAAGAAGAACACTGGTGCTGTAGTTAAGGCACCAGGCTGGGAGTTTGGAGTTCCAGATTCAGTTCCCAGACTCCCTGAGTGACCTTGAGTGAGTCTCTTATTATTTCTGTCTCTATCCCGTCTGAGATGGGGATACTACTCCTCCCTTTCTTTGTCTCTTTAGGCTGTAAGCTCTTTAGGGCAGGGACTGCCCCTCTCTCTCTCTCTGCGTTTGTGCAGTCCTAGCCCAAGGGAGCCCTGAGGTCAGTAGGGGCCTTGGGGCACTACTGTATTGCATAGTGCAGCGGTGTCAGACATACTGCCTGCAGGGCGGATCTGGCCTACATGATGTATTTGTGTGACCCACATGGCATACGCCAATTGGGCAGAATCTAAGCTTCAATTTAAAAAAAAAAAAAGAAGTTTCTAGTCCTCCTGGCGGAAGAGGGAACTTTCCAAACGTGAACCACGCGTAAGAGACATCATGATGTCTGCATGGAGCAACAGTGAGTTAGAGGGGTGAACTCCCTTCTCGTGCTAATCCGGTTGGAGCATCAGCACTGAGACCAATGACGTCACTGCAACCTCAACATTTACTGACCGTTCTAGTGTGTAGAATGGGGTCGGGATGGGAGTGAAACTCTCGATAGGTGCCAATTGGGAGTTGCCACAGAGAAGGAAATACAGGAATAAATCACAGGCTTGTTACTAGTAACGGCCGCGTTGTTTGCTGGATGTCTGAGTGAACCTTCCACTGATATCATTGGGGTCTCTGATGTGGATCAAGGGCACTCTGCTAACCTCCAGCCCACAATTTAACCTGGAATCCATCCCTTTCCTCTGAATTTGATGCCCCTCCTATGGACCGATGGAGTGTGTGTGTGTACAGGAGCCAGTACAGCTAGATGTGTAGCTGCAGCTTTAACACACACAAATTTGGTTTGATATGAAGCTACAAGCAGCAGGAATCTTTGTTGTAAACTGAAGCAAGCCCCGTTCTTCACCTCTCCCTCCCCTTCTTCCTCTGCTCCTGTACTGCAGTCTAAGAAATTCCAGTGCCTTATATTTCTTTTCCAGGATTAAACTATGTGTATTGGCTGCAGTGTTCCTGATCAGATTAGTTTCAGTTACTTACTGTACATCTGGTCCTCATCTGGAGCTAAGAGGATAAACAGGTCTGCTCCTTGGAAACCACTGACATGTTTAAGTTCTCTCCTTTGTGCTTTTCTAGCAGTGTGATGTGCCATAGCTCCCTTCATTGTGTCAGGCCCAGCAAATCCCATCGACGCCAATCAGTCACGTCATTGGAACATCTCTCATTACATATTAACCTTGTCCCCAAGAATATCAAGGGGGAGAGTTCTTCAGGCTTCTTATTTTTGTGCCTAAATGGTTCCCTTTGCCTTCAGGGGCTTTAGTGTCAGCTGTTCTAACTTTTCCCAAACCTCTCTGGCTTGGTGTTTTCAAAAGATTCTCTGTACTGAAAACCCGCTGTCTTTCCCAGCTAGTGGGATATTTGCAGGCACAAAACCTGGAAAAATCAGGAAGGTTTGATAAGAATCTTGTTGAGGCTCTGAAACTCAACCCTGCACACAGGTCCAGCAATAGTCTGAAGTGGTGCCTAAACCTTGTGCAGGGGTGAAGTTCACCCTCGGTGCATTCCAGACATCACTTTGGGTTTGCTTGCTAGATCAGATTGAGTTGTTGCATGGACTCAGAACCAGTTAGGCAAGTGAGCATGTCAGTGGGAGGAACCCCACAGAAGCAGTTCTTCCACTTGGGGTCCTTACAGCTGAAATGCAGAGCTGTTTTCTGCACTTAATGTCTGTTAACTTTGTCGTCCGTACAGCCAGTGCATCACTTCCCAGCTGGACGAACTCCTATGCCCTCCCACCACGCCGGAGGGCCGGAATGACGAGAAAGCCCTGCTCGAGCAGCTTGTGTCCTTCCTGAGTGGCAAAGATGAAACGGAGTTGGCGGAATTGGACCGAGCTCTTGGGATTGACAAATTGGTTCAGGTAGCAAGCGATGTACTTGGGGGGTGCTGGGGCTGATAGAGGACTGTGTATGTTGCCAAATGCTTAGGCCTGATAATGGGTGCAAAGGAGGGCTTCCAACATCTGGTGCTTGCTTGCCAGATGTGGATGGGAATAAAAAAGCACATTAGGTTCAAAGAGGATACTTAATACCATGGCATTTTCCAGTGCGCTCTACCAAAAAGTTGGAAAATATCCCCATGAAATACAATATTGTGCCCCCCTGCCTTTAAAACGTGGGAAACGTCAGCCTCTCAGAGGCGGCTGAATGTATTTATCCTTGAATGGCTCATGCAGTGGGAAGTGGGGAGAGTTGGCAGACTTTTCTGCCTCACCATCTTACTTTGGGGTTAGAGTGCAGAAGAGAACTCCAGCTGGAATCTCACAAGTAGAGATTCCTGAGCCTTAATTATGCTGCATAATATATGCTTAATGGCCTTGCTGGTACAAAAATGCACAGCCTTTACCACCAAGCCTGGCTTTCATTGCAGCAACCCCTGTCTCCAATTTAACCGCAAGCTGATGAGTTTGTCCCCACCCACCCCCACCAAATAGTGGCATTATGTGGCCCAGATCCTGCCTCGGAGCTGCGCAAACAGAACTTAATCCCGTAAACCCCAATGGGGTTCAGCCTGGGTGCACGCAGACCCAATGGCAGGGTCTGGGCCTCTAAGAATATGCTGGGTTTTCATAAATAATGAAGAACAGCACTGCTTGAAGAAATCCTGATCATAGGAAAGATATAAAGAACAGAGACATGCAAGTAATGAAATAGTTTGCAACTATTTTTATAATTTATTTTTCCAGTTCAGACAATACTTACACTCGTGCGTGTTTGTTTCCAAAAAAATTATTAGAACCAAAAATCTGTCATTAATTTTAGTGCTCTTGGAATGGACCTAGAAAGGGAGCCCTGGAGAGTGAATTCCTCTCCTCTTCCAAGGCCTGCTTCTTTATCACTGAACTGAAGGGGGCTTCTTCTGTTGAGCCCTCCCTAGAATAACTACAGAATAGCACTGCAACTTCTTTATATCGTCCCATTGCTATGCTGCAGCTTTAATCTAGAGACAAGTCTAGATGTTCTTAGGTGACTAATCTGAGACACCTTGTAGTGGAGTTGTTTTTCAGAAAATGCCAAGTATCTGCCCTCTCAATAGCAGGCCCCTTTTAAGGCATCAAAAATCAACTTGCGCATCAAAGTCACTAGCCACTTTTAAAAATGTAGGTCTGAGAGGGGGAGTTCAGTCTCCCTGGCTCATTCAGTCGCTGATTCCTCTGCTGAGGCTGCCGGTAAAGATGCCAGTTGTGGCAGGGTGGTTTTTGTGCCATGGTCTCCTATCCACCAGGACCCAGATCACGATCTACCAAACTCATTTCATACAGGCCACCTAACAGCCATAACCACACCAGCCAACTTTCAGTGTTGTTCTTAGGGAGGGTACTAGGCATTTGACTTTCTCTCTCAAATACTGAAGTAAGATGCCTTGGAACACTGAGCCTGGGGCCCAGAGTTGTGTGAGAATGCCAATCATCTTCCCTCTTGAGCCAGCAAATTCCCTGTCTAATAGTCTATGGCTCGGAGCATCGTCTCTTGTTTGGAATTGAAATCCAACTTTACTCCCATCCAAGGATCGTTTCTTGAATATTAATCTTGGGCTTTTTCCATGGCTCCAGATGAATCTTTGTAATAACTTATGTAATGCTATAAAATATGTACTGGACATAAATATTTATGGGGACAGCATTCAGAATTCAGGCACCTTTGGGAAGAAGTTCATTTTGATAGTTTCCCCCTCGGATACATAACTGAAATGTATCCCATCCTCCTAAACCAGTTTGTATTTCCTTGGATATGTTGTACAGACTACCCTTACTTTCAAGTTGTTTATAATTAGGCCCAAGTATTTCAGACCCACCTGGAACCAACTCAAAGTACACTCTAGCCTTAAGGTATGTCTTCACTGTAGAGTTACCTTAGTCCACCTCCTCTCCACCAACAAAACCTTCTCAGCTGAGTTTAGTGGTGCTTTCAGCCTGAGCTAGCTGGCACGGCAGGGTCTGGAGCCTCAGTGCCGCTTTCTCTCAGGCTGGTCACCTACCTACTTTGCAGGTAGGGTACAGTCCTGCTGCGCCTTCCCATAATTCCTGCTCTAGAATGACAGACAAGGTCTTCCACAAGTCACTAGGAAAGAATCATGGAGTGGCTCAGCTTACTGCAGCACAAGGAGCCATGAGATTCCTCCCAGATGTCCTAGTGACACACGCAGGTACATGCCGCAGCGGCCAGGGTGCAGTAATTCAGGCATGATATTGCACACACAGTGGCTGTTCACACCCAGGCACCGATCACCTGAGTTAACTCTGCAGGGAAGACATACCTCTAGAGAGTAGCAAAACCTCTGAGTTCATTTCCCCCTGACTCAGACCTGATGCTGAAGGTTGCTGATTGATTTCAAGCACTTGATGGGATAGGGCTCCTAATCTGGTAACTGATTATGTCCAAGACCACCTTTCTGCTGCAGCATCAGACAGGGATTTGTGGTCAGGTGAAGTGCTTGAGTTAACCTACCCCCCAGTTTAATGAGGAGGGGCTGAAATCAGGATATTTTCAGTGAGCTGTTCTCCACTGTGGAATTTACCTCCCCCATTGAGTGAAAGATGGTTTTTTTACATAGCACATAGTTAACTTGTGGAACTCAATGCCACAAGCTTAGTAAGTTTACTCTCTGCTGGGTCCATATTATTTTGCTCTACCTGGAGTAAAGCTAACGCAGAACAGTGTGTCTCCTATTTCCCCTGTGTAAGCTTCCTCAGAGAGGTCTGATTCAGCTTACTTGCAAATACTGACCCCAATCCCGGACTGGAGCTGAGGAGCCCACGGTACAGCTCAGGACGGCATGCTCCTGTGATCCAGATCTGACTGTGCATTGCTCTGGTCACCCTGTGTAACTGAAAGCAGCTTGAAGGCTATTACTCCAGCTGTCAAAGGCTTCTAGGGCTATCATGATGGCCGGGGATTGCTGGGGCACAGGGAAGCCCCAGCTGCAACCTATTTCCCCTGGCCACCTCCCCTTTACAGACTGCAATAGGAGGGTAATGTAGGAGATACCATGCTGTTCCCCTGGCCTTGAATTGATTCTTCCACTGTCACAGCGCAGCCAAAGATGGGTGCCCCCCTTTAGGCACCTAAATAAATGGCTAGATTTTCCAAACAGCTCAGCTCCTATTGCAAACCATGGAGAGTCATCTCCCCATCACCACTCCTGAGAACAGCAAAGAATCTCTTGCCCCTTCCTCCCCTCCCCTTGAACGCCCTGGAAAATCTGGAGCCAACTGTGTGTTTTGAGCCCTTCTGAAAATTGTGGCCTTTCTTCATGGCCACGCAAAAAACCGTTTTCTTTGTGAAGGTTTTTAAGGCCTCTGGCCCTGAGGAGTGAGGTATTAATTGTTCTCCTTGCAGTTGCTTTTTGGAACATTCCCAATGACTAGACTCAAGCGGGCTGCACTGTGGCTGGCTGTACCAGAGCAGTGAATGCCAGGACCAGGAGCAGTCCCTTCTGGCCTGTGCTCAAGGAGCCTGAGAAGTGAAGGGCCCTTTGAGTTGGGGTTTGCTACCTTCTGTGAGATGTGGAACACATGGCTGTTGCTTTGTGTGTTAGAAACTCTGCTGGGATTTTTGTCAGCTAAGAAGGGGGTCTCACTTTTGTCCCCCTTTTTAAACAGGGAGGCAGCCTGGAAGTGCTGACTGACAGATTCCAGCCACAGCAAGCGACACCGTCTCTTCTAATGGATCAGAAGCCTGGCCTGTACCCCCAGCCTTATTCTTCTGCTTCTACTGCTAATCTCCCCAGCCCTTTCCAAGGCATGGTCAGGCAGAAACCTTCTTTCGGGCCCATGCCGGTTCAGGTACCATCGCCCCGAGGGGCTTTCCCCACCAACATGGGAATGCAGCCACGGCAGATTCTAAACAGGCCACCGACAGCCCCCAACCAGCTGAGACTTCAGCTGCAGCAGCGGCTACAAGGGCAGCAGCAGGTGACTATTCACTTCGGTTCTGTGGGGAATCCAGAGCTCTCAGCTAGAGCTGCCCAGCACTCAACCTCTTCCCTCCAGATGTGCTGTGCGGGTTACAGAAGTCTGTAAACTGCCACACGCTGGGTTTTGCGCAGCACTTCTCCTTATGTGGGGCCAGCCCATCCCACAAGCTCTGTCATTAGGATGCCCCACTGTAATAGAGCAGCAGAAGGATGTGCGCCAAGAATAACATAAAGCAGAGGTCCCCAACGCGGTGCCCACGGGCGCCATGGTGCCCACCGGCGCATTTTGTGCGCCCGCAGGACACCCCGCCACCAAAATGCCGCTGAGAAGCGTCACCATTTCTCGGTGGCATTTCGGCGGCGGGGTGTCGGGCGCCCGCCACAGTCTTCTGGGAATAGCAATACGCTATTTCCACAAGAAAGGTTGAGGACCACTGACGTAAAGAAAACCAGCTTAATGGAAAAGTGCTCTGTTGCCATTGTGCAGTTAGAAGAAATTGTGGGGAAACTAGTCAGAGTCCCTTTAAATGAATTATCTGCTTCTCAGATCAGTAGGGAGGAAAAATGCTGCTGGAAGCCAGTTGCCATTGGTGGGTCTGTAGATGTTCTGTACCTGACAAAACTGGTGTAGAGCTGCAAGGTCTTTCTGATTTCCTCCTCTCCAGCTGATACACCAAAATCGGCAGGCGATCCTGAACCAGTTTGCAGCAAATTCTCCGGTCGGCATCAGTATGAGGGCAGGCATGCAGCCACAGATTACGCCTCAGGTAATGGTAGGAAGCTACATGTTGGCACCCTCATCAGTCCAGCGGAAATTAGTACTTTATCACTAAGGGCCTACACCATTGATTTGTAAGCAGCAATAAACTCAGTCTATTCCAGTGAGACTAATTTGGGGTGGGATGATTTAGTTGGGAATTGGTCCTGCTTTGAGCAGGGGTTTGGACTAGATGACCTCCTGAGTCCCTTCCAACCCTGATATTCTATGATTCTAATTGCAGAGTGAGGTACTACTCAATAGTAGAATTCGGCCCCAAATGAATTTTCTGTGTAGCTGATTGCGGATATTATCTTCAGCCTCCATACAGCATTTCCACCTGGAAATTCTCTATTGCTGCTTGGACATGAGTGGTACTGGCTTGGACTTTCATTGAGAAGGGTCCCTTTGTAACTGATGACATTCACGTATAGTTGAATCTCTAGTGAATCTTTTGTAATGATCCTGCAAAGCCCCAGGTCCGGGAGTTCTATCCCACTTTCAGTAAAGTGGGATCAAATATCTGCTCGGTATAAGGGGAAAAGAAGGTGGAAGGTGTAGCCATGTTCTGGTAACTTTGTTCCATATGGCGGGTTTTTATTGGTGCTATCTTGCCACCCCCAAACCATTACTGACTCCAACGACTCTGTGAAGACTCCAAACTGTTTTGATGAGTTTTGGACATCTTTGATATTCTCTCAGGCACTATAGCTGCAGACAAAACTATGTAATAGTTTCCATTGTAATGCTTTGTTTTCAGCTGCTGCTAACTTTCTCAAACTTTCTCTTCTGGGCTGAAATTTTCCACCGTGATATTTTATTAACTTTGAGCAAATCTAGTTCAGCCATTTGGGAAACAAACCCATAACTTACAGAAAATTCTTGAAAGAGATGGTTTTGAACAGCCCTACAGTCAAAATAGCTGGGTTAGAGAATTGAACTATGGCATGGAACTAGCCTTCACTGACAAGAAGCGCCTTCAAGTCTCTCTGTGAAAATGGGGTTTGATTGGAACAAGTTATGAATGTTTGAAAATAGCATGCTCTGCAAAGGAGTTGTCACATTTCTCACTGCTATCATTATTATAGTGGTGGCAAGAAACCATGTTGTGCCAGGAGCTGTACACACACAGAGAAACACACAGCCCCTGCCCTAGAGCGCTTACAGTCTAAATAGACAAGACCAACGGGGGCGGGGGTAGGAATCGGAGAGGCAGAAAGGTGAGGGGACTTGCCCAATGTCATAGGGCAGGTCAGTGCCAGAGCTGGGAATAGAGCCCAAGTCTCCTGTTTTTTTCCAGTGCTCTGTCTACTAGGCGACACTACCTGGCTCACTAAGCGTGCACTTTGTAAAGTAGGCTAAGGGAAATGGTCTATGGCAACAGTTGCTTTGGTCACTGCCAGTCTAGTACGGCACATCCGTATAACGTGTGCACCCGGCGTGTCACAGGCTGCTAGGAAGATAGGTTCCTGCCCAGGAGAGCTGAAAAACCCTAAACGGAGAAAACTCAAAGAAAAAGGTTGAAGACAGAGCTTGATGTTAAAGCCCAAGTGACTGAGCCCTTTGAGCTGGTAGAATCCAGAGAGCAAACACGATCATACTGAACAACTGCAGACTCCGTCTGGGCCGGGTCGTGTGTGGCCAGTGGGACACTGGTTAGTTACCGAGTTGCCATCAGGAGACGTGTAGTGGTGTTGGGGTCGAGCTGGGTCAGGCATCAGGTTACAGAAAAGAGCCAAGCAGCGGAGCGAGGACGGAACTGGGGACAGGAACTAGAGTGTAAGGTTCACAGTAAGGCGAGGTCTAGCGCAGAAGCAAGCAGGCAGTTTGTGTCCTTGCTCAGCCAGCCCCTGTAATGGCTTCCTGGCTTATATACTGGCGTGGGCCAATCAGTGAGCTGCAGGGCTCCCACTCAGGCTCCGCTGAGTGCTCCTTCCTGCAGTGTCTAGCTTCACAGGGTCCCCCAACAGAAACCTGGCCTGAGCTCCTGGTGGTGATGAAGCTTTGGGAGCCCAGAATCTCCATGGTCCCAGGTTCTAGTTCTGCAGGTGCTGACAGACTTTGCAGTGAGGGGTGCTCCAGTCTGGTGACTCATGTTGGCAGAGCTTGGAAGAGAGCCACCACCTTTCTTCCCCCAGTTTCACCCCTGAGTACCACGGGCTTTTAAAATGTCATTTGTAACGATTATATAGTGATACGAGCAAGACAGGATTACGGTGCCAACTAAGCAGGGACAGGTGGCTAGGGGGCGGGTAGGCACAAGGAAAGGGAATCTGGAGGGGAGATCAAGATGGCGGGAAGAGGCAGACTGCTCAGTGTGCAGGGAGCAGTATGAAGTGAGTGATTGTGCTGAGAGAGTCCAGCAACAACTGTTGTTAAAGGCAAGGTTGTGGTAGCAGGGCGGGATCTGAAGCAACAAATGGTGGTTTTTGGACAGGCGTTTTTCTCGTTAGCAGCTGCATGAAATGACACAAAGCTGAAATTTTTGCCAGTAGCTGCCCCCACAGATGGGGAGCCCCTTGCAAAGGCTTCCTGTTCATAGCCAGGCTGAGAACATGTGTTCCGAATCCCAACTCTCCAGAGTCTTTCAAGCTTTTATGAGGTGAGCATACGAGATTTTCCATTCAGTTACAGGAATGAGCATGCACAGAGGCAGCTCTTTAATATTTCCAGTCTGCTCTGCCTTTGATCTACACAAACTGGCAGATTTACAGAGCTTCCTCAACTGCTCTTTGGGATTTTTAGCTTTCCTTGCAAATGATGATTGACACCACAGGCAGCCAGAAAGGTCATTTGTCCATCCCCCGTACAGTACAATTACCCTGACAGGGGGCAGAGTTATCATAACGGTCACATCTACCTCCTCCTCTGCAGCCACCTCTGAATGCACAGATGCTGGCCCAGCGCCAACGAGAGCTGTACAGCCAGCAGCATCGGCAGAGGCAGCTAATGCAGCAGCGAGCCATATCAATGAGACAGCAGAGCTTCGGGAACAACCTTCCTCCCTCAGCTGGACTCCCAGTGCAGATGGGGGCCGCTCGCCTCCCCCAGGCACCCCCACAGCAGTTTCCCTATCCCCCCAACTACGGTACGAATCCAGGAAACCCTCCCACCTCCACCAGCCCCTTTTCGCAGCTGGCATCGAACCCTGAGGCAGCACTGGCCAGTCGCAACAGCCTGGTGAACAGAGGGATGATGGGGAACGTTGGAGGGCAGTTTGGTGCCGGGATGACACCTCCCATGCAGCAGAACATCTTCCAGTACTCTGGGTCAGGTACGTCTTCGGCTGTGCCCCTTAAAGTGGAGTCTGCGTTCAGTGTCTGCTTCATCAGGTGATGCTTTAAGTATGTGGCGGTATGAGTGGGGGCAACAAACGATGCAAGTAAACAAAGATACTGCATGGCCAACGTAATGACTTCCATGTGTACCCCTTAGCCCCAAGTGGAGGAAATCCAGATCAGGTCAGAATTACACAGTGCTTTTCATTCGCTGATCTCCAAGAGCTTTACAAAGGTGGGTAGGAATCATCATGCCCAGTTTATACATGGGGAAACTGAGGCACAGAGCGAAGCTGGGTTTGCAGCCCAGTTCTTCTGACTGCCAGTCCAGCTCTGCGTCCACTAGACCGCGCTGCCTTTGCATTTCATTAGTGCCATTCACTTGAGGATCTCAGCGCGCTTATTGCAAGTTCTGGGAAGGTACCCCATTCTTCTGGCTCCGTGTTCCAAATGTACCCCTCAGACAAAGTAGAGATCTCTAGAAGTTGACACCATTTAGGTAAATAATTGTATTTCCCTTTTAAAAAAGAGAGAGAGAAATTCAGAGTGGCCATTTTAATTAAACTACTTTAAATTTACATTCAGAAGCTAAATGTCTGAAAAAGGCCAAACCCTTGTGCATGCTCTGATGAGGTATCGGAAATCAGCTGCAGATGGAGGTTATTTCCTGTGTACAGATTATGTGGGTGGCTCAGATTAAATCAGTGAGTTTGTCCAGAATTGGCTGCAGATGGACATCTTCGTACTGCACCTGCTCCACATGGTTTTACACTTAAGCAGCACTTTTCCATAATGTAAAAAGAATTCAGTTTGAATCTGGCAAGGGAGATCTGGTTTCTATAATTAATCAAGAGAGACAATTACCCCACAGCTATCACGGCTTTGGAAACCAACTAAAATAGTCTTGCAAGTCAACAATCACATTGTCTTGTTCTCCAGTACAGTTACTTCAGCTCCTTCTCCCGGCAGTTGTGTTCTGGAATACTACCCTCTGTTTACAGCAAGCAACTTCTGGGTTTCCCCCCCACCATTTGGCTACAAAATGCTGTATTCGGGTAATACAAATAGCAACCAAAAGAAAGGGGAGGGGGGAGGCCTAAGATCAAAAGTCCAGGCTGAAGCTTCAAATTTAACTCTAGCACCTGCAAAAGAGGGGAAATCCTCACAAGACACCACTGGAGGAGTAAGGTAATACTCTGCGTGAGCAAAGGTGGCAGACTCTGGTCCCAAGGGATTAAGAACAAGCTTATTAAGTAATGGCGTGGTCGTCTGCACAGCTTGCAGTGAAGCGGCCTGTGTGTTGTTCCCAGGTATGGGTCAGCAAAGTGAGCCTGCATTCGCTCCATCGCTCAGCCCCAGCAGCCCTCTGGTGTCGCCGCAGATCCCTCCTTCGCAGAGCCCCATGCTCCAGCCAGCTCCATCGACCCCTGGGTACCCGTCCCCAGACATGAAGACTTGGCAGCAAGGAACAATGGGGAATAATAAGTAAGTCTAACCTAAGGTCAGAGTAATGTACACGCAGATGGTAGGCTATCATCCCGCCTTCCCTACTCCAGGAGCAATAACTGCTGAGGTCTGTGCTCCTGCCCCCAGCTGGTCTGGAAGCAGGGGACCAAGGGTAACAAAACATGGCTCTCTGGATGTTGACATCACAGTTGTCAAGGGGATCGAACCTGGCACCTTCAGCACCAAAATCACAGGCTTCTTCCACAGCAGAGCTCCTTTAGCTGTGAGTTCGTAGTAGGTTGCGCTGGTCGCTGGGCCCAGACACTAGGGGGAGACATGGTCACACATGCACTAAGCCAGTGTCATACACCAACCCATCCCCTAACCACTCACCCTGCGGGTTAGCATGTTGAGTTCCCTGTAGAACATTCATCCAGCCCTGAACTTTAACTGTATAATTACCTTGTAAAAAACCAGATCATTGGCTTGCTTATAAAAGCAGTGAGCTCTCTCCAGTTTCTGAGTGAGTAATCCATGCTGGTGCTTGGGTGTGCTGAGATACAGGTCGAGGAGATACCACCAAGATGATGGTGGTATCACCATGGTGATAGATGCTTTATAGATACTTAACACAGGCTGTCTCCTCCCACAGTGATGGGGCCTGCAAGAGTAGATGGAGACCAGTGCTAATCTCAGTCAGCATTTACACACCATGAGCTTCTCCTTAGACTCCTTTGTTTGTATTTTGCCCTTGGATCGTCAGATTGCCAGAAGCCCACAACAAATTGGTTTTCTAAATGAGCACACACATCCAGTAGCCCACAGAGCAATTCTTTTGCTTTAATTTAAAAAATGATGTAATTAAGTCTTCATGAAAGCAAAGGACCTGTGCTAGCAGTAACTCTGCCAAATACACCTCAGTCCTGCCCGCTACTTTGGTGCTGGGCATCTTTGAGCAGAGATTGGCCAATCCATGACAAAAGTTGACTAGTGTAAGAAAGCATCAGCTCCTATTCCTATTGTCTTAGCAGGGCTTTGGCCGCAGATCTCCCCCGGTGAAAAGCTGCTAGCGTATGCACTGACTTTGCAACTTGGCCACATCCCTTTGGAAGGGGCTGCCCTTTCACTGGACTAACAGCTCCAGCATACAGTAGCTGTGCTAATTCTGGTGCAAGGGCTGCTTTGTTCCGTGCAGCATTGTTCTGACTTGCCCTTGGATGGAAAGTTGTGTCAGTCTCCAGAACAGGAAAAGGGATGGCTCAGACTGTCAGGAGGGGAATTAGAGTGAAGTACTGCACTGTGCCTCGCACTCTACAGACTAGGCCTTTACTTCATTTCTGAGCAACACCATAGTCCAGCTAGGACTTCTTTAATACTGTCCTTTCTTGTCACCATTGTTTTTCATGCCCTATCCTCAGCCAGACTTATCAGACTGGATAAACGCTTGGTACAGTATAAACTGGGGCAATATTTCCAAGACTCCCACAGTACCGTGCATGCCGTGGAAGGGAGCTCTAGTCTGCAAAGCAGTTGCCCATGTTTCTGTGGGAGTCATTTTTGTCTTCAAGGCTGTTTGAACTTTGTCCCACTAGGTTTCTCTGCAGTGCCTTTGTTGTCAGCTGTGTTTCTAATTTCTAGAATCCCTGTGCTTCTAAACTGTATTTTAGGATTCCTAGAAGTTCTGAGGAAGAAAGCAAGGTCTGTTCCTCATTGAATGGCTTTTTATATTCCCTGGTTTTTATTACATCTTGGAATTGGACATTTTTTAATCCAGTAGAGGTTTGCCATTATGCACTAATGATGCTTGGCTAGCAAGGCATTGGGCACCTTATGTGATCAGAATGTTTTAGACTGGCTAGGTGGCCAGCCACTGGGTAACAGAATCAGGTGTTTGAACAGGACATTTGTTTTCTGTGGCTGTCTCTCTTCCAGCCACTCAGCCATTGGTGGAGCAGTTGACATAGCTGTGCCAGTGCAAACCCCAAGTGTAGACAGGGAAAGCCAGGATACACACCAGTTCTGCTTCTCCCTGCTTGAAACAGAGTTAAACTCCAATCGTGGCTTAGCTTGCTCACCTGCACTTTAGTTGTACTGACTACTGGCCACCAGTTGCTGAACTGTGCAAATCCCCAGGTAGACGTAGTCTGTGAATCAGTGTATTTGTGCCTGGTGTAGGGTATATTTCTCATAGCTTCTTTCCCTCATCTACACTACAGAAATAACCATTTCTAAACACAGTTTGGAAGTGTGGTTGTGGCCCATCTGCATTGTGGTGTTCTTGCCCATGTGGACAGAAATTCCTCCATGAACCATGGGTGGATAACCAGGCTAAAAGATGGTTATAACAAGTTTATCTCTGATCACACAGGCAAGAGGAGGTCATGCTATAAAACACATGGGGAACATGACCATGTTTCACTACAGTGTTTAAATGTGCGGTTTTCCCTTCTCTGTCCTATTTTCCTGATGCACTTCAGATATTGCAGTGGCAAGCCCCCTAGAAGTGCCTGTAAATTACGAAATGTCCTGTTTTGGTTTTGGCTGGTCATGGTTCTGAGTCTAGAATAACACAAACTCAGATTGAGAAGGCAGCTTAAAAACCTGCGAGGACCAACAGGAACTCTGTCTTGTATGGTCTGACCTGCATACAGTCTGCAGTAGGGAGGGCTAATGCCTGTACTGCAGCTCGATGATGCTCTGTGTTACATAAAAGAGCTTAAGTACTCATGGTGGGGGGGGGGGGGGTTGCTGGGGGGGGAGGTATCATCCATCTCCCTCCATTGCCTTCAGGAAACACAATGCCCCAGGCTCCCATCAACCTTGCCTCCCCCACCAAAGACTTTGATAGTGACAGCACCTCATACAAACTGGACACTTCACACTTCTCATTACACAAGAACTCGGGGTCACCACATGAAATTAACAGGCAGCAGGTTTAAAACAAACAAAAGGAAGTATTTCTTCACACAATGCACAGTCAACCTGTGGAACTTCTTGCCAGAGGATGTTGTGAAGGCCAAGGCTATAACAGGGTTAAAAAAAGAACCAGATAAGTTCATGGAGGATAGGTCCATTCATGGCTCTTAGCCAGGATCAGCAGGGATGGTGTCCCTAGCCTGTGTTTGCCAGAAGCTGGGAATGGGCAACAGATGGATCACTTGATGATTCTCTGTTCTGTTCATTCCCTCTGGGGCACCTGGCATTGGCCACTGTCAGAAGACCGGATACTGAGCTAGATGGACTTTTGGTCTGACCCAGTATGGTCATTCTTATGTTCACCGCTCAGAGCTGATGAACTGAGATAGCAGAGACCAGGTAGGGCTTTTTCCACGTGTCTTGTTCTTGCTATATGTTCCTTGAAGGCCATGCAGGACTCAACCCTGAATGTAGTGCTGGGAGTAGCCCTCCCCATCACACGGATGGAAAGGAGGATGTGTCCTACTGGATTCTCACCTGCTCTGGGGTTTTTGGTTGCTAGCAAGATCCTCCAGCAGGTAGATTTCAGCATCAGAATGAACCATCCTTCGGGTTTTTTAAACTGCTGTGTTTCATGTTGGCTGTGGCTCAGACACTAGCTTTTGTGGTTAATGGGTTACAATGTTGAAACTAAATGGGTTTCAATGGTGAAACTAAAAATAAATTCATGGATTCATAGATTCCAAGGCCGGAATCCTTGTGATCATCTGGTCTGACCCGCTTTATCCCACAGGACAGAGAACTTCCCCACAATAATTCCGAGTGCAGAGCTTTTAGAAAAACATCCCATCTGGATTTAAAAATTGTCACTACAACTCTTGGTAAATTGATCCAATGGTTAATTACACTCACTGTTAAAAAAATTGTGCCTTATTTGCCGTCTGAATTTGTCTAGCTTCAACTTCCAGCCATTGGATTATGTTACACCTTTCTCTGCTAAATTGAAGAAACCATTATTAAATAAAAGGAGGACTTGTGGACCTTAGAGACTAACAAATTTATTTGAGCATAAGCTTTCGTGAGCTACAACTCACTTCGTTGAATGCATTTTTTTTTCCACTGAATGTATCCGATGAAGTGAGCTGTAGCTCACGAAAGCTTATGCTCAAATGAATTTGTTAGTCTCTAAGGTGCCACAAGTACTCCTTTTCTTTTTGCGAATACAGACTAACATGACTGCTACTCTGAAACCTGTTGTTATTAAATATTTGCTCCCCATATAGATATTTATAGATTGTAATCAAGTCACCTCTTAACTTTGCTTATTAAGATAAGTAGATTGAGCTCCTTGAGTCTGTCTCTATAAGGCACATTTTCTAATCCTTTAATCATTCTCGGGGCTCTTCTCTGACCCCTCTCCAATTTATCAACATCCTTCTTGAATTGTGGGCACCAGAACAGGACACAGGATTCCAGCAGCAGTTGCACCAGGGCCAAGTACAGAGGTAAAATAACCTTGCTACTCCTACTCAATCTTGCCCTGTTTATGCATTCCAGGGAACATACAAACTCCAACAAATCCCTTCATGTCCTTTATTTCAGGGCTCGCTTTATTCTGAAACAGAGCAGGCAACTCAAAACACTCTTAGCAGCCTTCAGCCCTCATCTCCCTTCTCTGGAGCTCAGGCTATCCCTTAGATAGTTCCCTGGCCATATGGCCTCTGGGTTCTCAGTGTGTCCTGTGGAATGGCATTTCCCAGAATCCCTGCTCTTAAAGGGCCCAAGAACCGTAGTGGGATGGGCCTGTGCACCCCAAGGCCCAGTACCCTATTACAAACGTAGAATTCATATTGCTGCTGTTTATTATTTTACAGCAGCACAAGACGTTGGAAGATGTGATCCCTGCTCCAGAGAGCAACATTCTAAATCTCAGACATGACCCAACAAGATCAGCAGTAGAGAGGGAGTGGGATCAAGGGGTACAATTCACAGGGATACTGAGCAGGATTAGAGAGGGGATGTTACCTTGGGATGCAACCGGGGAGATCTCTGCTGGAACATTGTATTCACTTCTGGTGTGTCTACGTTAAAAAGGAGGTTGAGAAATTGAAGGGGGCTCAGAGAAGAGCCATAAAAATGATTCGAAGGCTGGAAAACTTGCCTTGCAGTGAGAGACTAAAGGAGCTCGATCCATTTAGCTGGTTGAAGAGGAAGAGAAGAGGCAGCTTAATCCCAGTCTGTAAATACGGTACCGCCCCAAGAAGTGCCTGATGCGAAAGGGCTCTTTAATCTGTCAGAAAAAGATCTGGAGGGACAATGGTTGACAGTTCTACATGTTGGCTGATTTTTGTGGGTGTTGGGTGAGAAGTGTGTTTTTGGTAAGAGGCTGGAGTGAGTTGGCAGACGGAACCCAGATGTACCCTGGGAGTCCATGGAACTAGAAGGTCACGGATGGTTTTTGTGTTCTCCACCATGAATTCCAAACAAGCCTATCTTCTCGTTTCATTTGCTCAGTAATTTGACCAAGCCAGAAGAATCGCTTCATTGATTTGGTTTCAGGCTGATACAGTGCAGAATGGCTCCAGTGCAGTTGCTCCAATTAGGGGATAATCTCAATCTCTTTGTTATATATGAAGCAATAAACGGCTGCCCAGATTGATTACGGTGCTCAGCCGCACTTGGGCATTTAATCAGTCTCAGAGGCTGTTTGTTGGAGTGCTGCAAAGCAATACAGATTATGGCTGTTAGACAGCAACCAGAGCAGGGCATTTTATTATTGTAGTCTCTCTCCTCTTGCAAGAGCTGAGCTGCCTCTTGGGTCTTCCACAGACTATACAGCTGTCTGGGGAGGTAGGAAGACACAATCTAATCTAACACGCACTGAAGTCAATGGAAAGTCTCCCGCTGACTTGGATGGGCTTTGGATCAGGTCCATGATGCTCTGGATGAAGGTCCAGCCCAAGCATCATGTTGTTTCCTTCCCCCCTTTCTGTAGGGGTCATTGCTGACAGATTTCCCATGAGCTGTGTGCGTAAATGCTATATAGACCTGTTTCTCAAATGGTCAGTCCTGACCCACCAGTGGGTTGCAGGGCCCTAGGCAACTATAGACTTCTCCCACCCCAGTGTGGAGGAGAGGTTCCTGGGTAGGGCTGGAGAGTGAGCCTGCCCCACACTCACCCGCCAGCAGCAGCTCCTGTCCTGCAGGGTTGGGCCTGGCTCCCTACTCCAAACATTACGATGTGGCACACATGGTCACAATGCCACTTAGGTTTGGCCTGGTCACTCCTCCGGGACAAATCCAAGTGAGTGCTGGTGTGACCTGGTGCATGGGATTGCAGTGCCACTCAGGTTTGGCCATGACCAAGGGGCAGGCAGGCCAAACCTGAGTGCTGTTGTGACCCCGTTGCAACACCCAGAGTTGGGAACGAGGCCCAGCCCCATGGGACAGGAGCCGCTGCTGCGAGGTGAATGCAGGGCGGGCTCGCTCTCCAGCCCATTCTGGGTGATGCCAGGGGGAAGGGTATATGTATCTAATGGTGGGTGTCAAAAAACAACAACAACGAAAAAGACAAAATGTGGCTGGCGGGGCGCCTTAGTAACAAGTCCGGGAACTGCTGCTCTCCAGCCACTTAGTGTTAGCAGCAGCATTAAGGAGGCAGTTGAATGAGGAGATGGGGCTCTTCGATTCCCTAGAGCCCTTAAGCGGGTGCTTCCATTTCATCAAAGTCAATGACATTGAGAACTTAGCTGAATCTGGGCCCCACTGGGCTGGAGCATAGGTAGCGAGACCATGAGTTGGGCTCTTTGGGGATGAGGGGTGATGCGATTGGACACCTTTTGACAGCATCACCATCCTTGGTGAAAGGAGGATGTTAGATTTTTCTGGCTGGTGATTGGCTGAAGTGTTTTTCTTGTATCCTGTATGATACTTACAAAGGTTACTAATGTCCATGGATTACCAGACACAGGTCTGGTCGGGCCCTCCCTGCTGGTGGCCCATCAGAGTGTTGTGAGGGGATCCAAACACTGACCCCTTCACGTGTTTTAAGCTTCCCTGGATCTCAGCAGGCTGCAGGCCTGTTTCTTCTCTTGGCGTCTCTGGCACATTTCCTGGGCATCAACTCTGTTATCCCTTCAAGGAAAGGGAGCTCCAGCCCAGCCCATCTTTCTTGGGCCCACAGGTCAAGCACTGACCCCCAAGATATCCCAGTAGCTTAAGCACACTCTCTCCCAAAAATCTCACCAAAGGTGTGAGCCTTCTGGTTATCTCTTCAAGGGGTCATGTGGTACATGTAGCATAGAACACACAGAGACACTGTGCCCAGAGTTTTACAGCATTTTTGCTCTTTACTTAATAACCCAGGAAATACACAGATCTGTACAAAATAATATATCCTACATGTATTTTCCTGCCTCAGTTTCCTCACTACTCCAGTGCATTCTTTGGGCTGGGGCCAGGGGCCAACCAGCATCCTTCTGTTCCAGTGCATGGCTTATGGGCTGAAACGTGGAGTCTTCTCTGACCTTGGCTGCCCAGCCGCCTCCCAAACATCCTAAGTGTCTCTCTCTGGGTCTTCCCCTGGCCCACCCACTGTCTGTGGTGTCTTTGTTTAGCATTTGGGGATTTTCTGCTGTTCCAAATGCCAACCCTGGCAGAGGGAAAGTGGAGAGAGGTGCTTTCCCCTAGGATGCAGTTACTCTTTTTTTCTCCCCAGGTAAGACCTATTCAGGTGCTGATAGCCCTTAACCTATTGCCCCTGTTCTGGCAGAGACAGGCATCCAGCCTTGTAAGCCACAGTGAGTGGACCCACAGACCTAGGCTTTCCATGATGCAGCAATTTTGTGATAACTCCACCCATATCAACCAGAATTCATAAGTCGCCCAGACCGAGCTTTCAAATCATCACACCATGATGCTTTCCATTTGGACTTTTGTAAATGTACAGCTGTATTTTTAGGGTTCCATTTGCAGGAAAGTACTTGCAACTCCCAGTGACTTCATCACACCTCTGAGAGCAGAATTTGGCCCTTTTACTTGTGGGATTTAAAAGGAAGAAAGCAATGAGGTTCTTTAGAAACTAAGTGAGATTTTATAGACACTGCTCTTAAGAGAATGAGATCCTCTCTAGAGAACTTTTAAAGCAGCTGATGGAGTTTAATGTTATCCTTGCTACAGAATTCTGTAGGTTGGTTTAAACATTCTTGGGGAAAGGGTCATTCTATGTTAAATTCTGTAGGACATTTCCAGAAGGGTGGTATTTTCTTCAGTAGATAGAAGCAGGAAGTCATGAAATTCCTCCCCAGGGGAAAATAAGCCACAGAGATCTGTCAGCTGCAAACATTGCATCAGCTCTTTTTAAAACAGCCTTTATCACTCCAGATCCATTCCCCCCACACACACCCTCCCCTTCCTTCTCTGTTACAGACATCTCTGTGGTTCCACTTCTGCAAGGATGCCTGTTGCTGGAGGTGTGGGTTATTGCACCTGTGAGCATCTAGCAACCGACAATTCTCCTGGCATCTGGCACCTATGTAGAGATGGGGGGGTTTAGTCCCATATCTGTGTGCTAGGAGTCCCATTCCTCTAGAGAACACTCCCTGGGTCGATCTCTCACTCTCTATGTTACAACTGGAAACAGAGCCCTGGCCTCTCTGAACTCCTGATTCTGTGTAATCCCTCTTTATTTTTTTGTCTGGGTTAACAGTGTATTCAGCCCAGCTGGGCAGAACCAGCCCACACCTGCGCAGCAGGGAATGTACAACAACATGAGCATCACCGTGTCCATGGCCGGAGGAAACACAAACGTCCAGAACATGAATCCAATGACTGGACAAATGCAGATGAGCTCACTGCAAATGCCCGGGATGAACTCCATGTGCTCTGAGCAGGTCAGTGCTGCAGCGTTCTCGTTCACCAGGCACTCCCAGGAGCACGAACAGCGATGACGCCGCTCCACTGACCATCAGCCAGTTTCACTGGGGGTGGGGGTGGGAGTTTCTCCATTGGTGAGGCACATGTATCCCACAGTAACTTTGTGGTGCTCTCCCTGGGAATTGCCGAACTCCCTGAGCCAAGGAGCTAACGGATTTATTGCGTTTAAGCTTTGTGTTCCAGGGTTTTTGCATGCCAGATGCTTGCTGCTCTAACTCCTCTCCACTCTGCATCATGCACACCCCTACCTCTGCCGCCTATTGTCTAGCATGCTGGGTGCCTGGAAATCCTGGCTCATGAGTCATTTGGTGCTTTTGTGCAGACTTACAAAATCTCCCTGGTGATCTCCCTTTTCTCTGGGATGTTTACCTTAAGGTTATCTCCTTCCTGTGCTTGAGAGGCAGGGACCTATTTCCAGTAGTACAGTTAGGTGTTTGACAGTGGAGCAAAGGGCTGGAGGGAAGCAGGCAGAGGCCCCTCTCGCTTCACTGGCACCCACAGCTGTAAGCTTCGCTGTGTTTTGAAGCCTGGTGCAACAGGCACCGGATTAGTCAAATTATGAGATAGTTACATCAGCTCACCAGGAACCGATGGGCGTGCATTCAACTCTGTAAAGATAACGGTGGCTGCACTGAGAGTTCCCAGCGGCTAACGGTTCCTGTAGCCCGAGTGTGCACTGAGGATTCCTTATTGCTAATTAAGGAGAACTTGACATTTCATGGGAAGATGAGGCAGAGGCAGATTTGTTCATGTTTAGGCACACCCAGGAAGTCACCAGGTGGTGGGGCTGGATTGGTAAAACTCCCATTGTAAAACTTTTTCTAAAGCAGGATCCCCACTGTTAATAACCGGTAAGTAACTGGTGTAGTAATCAGTTCAGTACCATGGAAATGCAACGTTCTTTCTAGAACCTTTGGATCAAATTCAGTCCCAGGGCCAGCTGACACTTCTCGGACTGAAGTCAGTAGCATGACCCCTGATTACACCCTTTTCCTCTACAGCCATCTTCTGCAACAACCTTCAGTCACAGAGGATGGTATAAAAGTGAACACAGACAGATACATGTGCACATGCATCCCCTTGAAACCAGGCAGATATGGATCGCCTGTTGTTACACTCCGAAATGGTCAGAGAGGTCTCCTGGCTGCAGTTAGCTATAGCACTCATGCCCCTAGGAACTCATTTCAGGAAACCATCCCTTCAGTGTCTGTGCAGAGTAGTGAGGGTGGCAGAGAACAAGCTGATTCACTGCTCAGCTGTGCACACAGAGGGCTGGTTGGTGCAGTTTGCACTGGGTCCTGCTAAGAGGCAGTGTGGAGCTACTCCAGCCCTGAGAGAGCACTGGGAGAGATTATTCTGCCTCCAGAGGTACAGTCTCTTCCAGGATGTTTGGTGAATGCAGCTGCTCATTTTGCATCATCTGTAAGGATGGTGGAAATTGCTTCCTCTAGTGATGGGAGGCGTTCTAGAATCCTAGAAACATAGGGTCGAAAGGGATCTTAAGAAGTCATCTAGTCCAGCCCCCTGAACTGTGGCCAGACCAAGTAACCCTATACCATCCCTGACAAGTGTTCGTCCCATCTGTTCTTAAAAACCTCCAATGATGGGGATTCCACAACCTCCCTTGGAAGCCCATTCCAGAGCTTAACTCCCCTTAGCATTAGAAAGCTTTTCCTAATATCTGATCTAAATATCCCTTGCTGCAGATTAAGCCCATTACTTCTTATCCTGCCTTCAGTGGCCATGGAGAACAGTTGATTCCCGTCCTCTTTATAACAGCCGTTCATGTGTGTGAAGACTGTGATCATGTCCCCTCCTCAGGTTTTTTTTCTCAAGACTAAACAGGCCCCATTTTTGTAACCTTTCCTCAAAGGCCAGGTTTTCTAAACCTTTGATCATTTGTATTGCTCTCCTCTGGATTCACTGCAGTAGGTCCACATCTTTCTTAAAGAGTGGTACCCAGAAGTGGACGCTGTACTCCAGCTGAGGCTTCACCCGTGCTGAGTAGTGGCTCCACCTCCTCCCCAGGTCTTTCCCAGTAACTTGCTTGATGGAGGACCGAGGAGTGAGCAATCCCTGCCCACACTACTATTGTGGTGGGGGCGTGCAAGTGGCAAGGGAAGCTGCTTGCCCGTGCCCTCATGCCTGCACCAAGGGCCAAGTACAGTCTTGTCCAATGTTTCTTTGTGGCGAGTAGTAGGCCCCTTTAGTAACCACTCAGTCTGAGGGAGATTCTCTCTCTGTTTCCAAGGCCAGACCTGAGATCTTTCAGGTCCAGAAGGGGCTCTAGCTGTTTGGGTTTGTGACTCAAGAATGTGGTAAAGCACCTTTGGGATCCGTTGCGTGATGAGAGGGATCTGTGCTATATTGCTCTTGGCAGCATCCCTTTTAATTAGTTTCATCTGTGAGCGTTTGTCTGTCTGCACTTAAAGCTTCTCTGAGCCATGCCTCCAACAGCTGACCTCTCCCAGCCTGTTCTGAAGGGATTCAGTCACGGGGGCTTTCTGAACTGCTCGTTATGGCTGCAGTAAACGGTTTGGAAACCAGCCCTCATTGTGCATTTGCTGTAGAGCGAGCTGGGAACTGAGGGAGACTGGTTTGAAGACACACTGACTCAGGCCCTGCTTCAGAGGCCAGATTTAGGTCATCATGTCCTGGCTAACACAGGATTAGTCCCTGGTGTCATCTAACGCTTCAGTCTGGAAGCAATGTGAAGGCTGAGCCATTTGTTCTGCCCCTCTGGTCCGTTCACTGGAGCTTCACGCTCCTCAGAGAGATGATGCTGTAGGGAACCACCGGCAGCCCAAGTGGGGGGCACAAGGGAGCTCTCCTCCGAGGGAACTCACTTGGATAATCTTAGTCCAGAGTATGGTCAGTGAAGCAAACAAGGATTGCAGCCCCTCCATGGCTTCATTCTGCTTCAGCAAATGGAGTGAGCCATCTCGTACAGCTGGGGCTCTGAGAGGCTGGGCTTGATGGAAGGAGCTCAGGGGGTCCCAGCCAGCCGCTTGGTTGTATTGCTCTAATTAAAACACTAAATGGAAACTTGCAGCAGGGAGTGAGCTGCTCCCAACACTGCCTACAGAGTCAGGAGTGCTGCTCACACTCGGCCAGCACCAGAACCAGGTCTGCAGCCCTGCCCTGGGATCCACGCTTCTCTCACCACTGTATCCACAGCATGCTTAAAGCTGGGAGAGCAGAATGAACTGTGCTTCCTGCACCCCTAGAAGGTTAAAATGGCAGATGCTGTAGCGTGGGGGGAGGTGGTGGGAAAAGGTCAGGGGGGAAGTGCTGGGGAAAAGGAGCCCAGCATTTCTAAATCTCTCCTTGGCTCAGAAGTTCTGTTGTTCGCCTTTTGTGAGGAAAAGCAAGAGAACGCTGTAATAAACAGGCTTAGTCCAACAGTGTCCCACTCAGCTGCTTCCCTGAGGCCACGCCAGCGTGTCACGGAGAGCATGCCAGCATGTAGGCGCCACATACACAACCCGATGCTGTAGCTCTCCTGGGATCCCTCACTTTCTGCAGAGTTGACACTGGAGGATGGGGCACTGGGGAGAGGATAGAGAATCCTCTGAAAAGCAGGTGAACCATCACTGAGCCTTGACCTTGCTTTGACAGGTAAATGACCCAGCACTGAGACCCGCCGGCCTTTACTGCAACCAGCTTTCCTCCACTGACCGTTTGAAAACAGAAGCAGACGGGGCGCAGGTCAGTAAGAAACTGCTAAGCACAGACCCATCTGAGGTACAAAGAGATGTTTGGCCTGTGGGTTGGTCACCTCAGTAACTGTAAACTTCTTGCACTTGTATCAGCGGCTTTGGCTTCCGGGATGGTTTCTGTAGTGGCAGAGAATAAATTGCAGGGCTCAGCCCAATAGGGCCTTCTATTTTCTGTGTAGTGTAGAGCTGGAATCTGCATTCGATGACAACGACCTGCCTCAGAAATCTTGCTTTATTCTCCTACTCTGATTTAAGCCGGCATGGATCAAAGCTCGTTGCTCTGGCAGGAAGGGTAAGTGTCCCCAGCAGTGTGGGGAGCGCAGTGAGCTGAGCTAGAAAAGTAATTGGACATCGGAGAGATGGGAGTCGCTAAAATCCTTATCGGCTCCGAGGCTGGCCCCAGGTACAATGACAAACGAGAGACGTTTCTGTTTTTGAAGGGCAGGGCTTGCTCGTAGAATGATGTTAATGGGAACATTGGCAGTCAGAATCCTCGTCTCCATGACCCAATGCGCTGATCATGAGCCCCTTCATAATATACCAGTGTGCACTTAGTGCCGCATTGGGAGTTGTCTGAGCTCGATTGCAGTTGACCCATTCATTCTGTTCAGAGAAAGGGGCTCAGCACTTTCTGCAAATCAGGCCCTTTTAAGGTGTCTCAAGTTGAAAACCCAAAATAACTAGCAACTTTTGAGTATCTTGGGCCAAGTATTGCCACTCTGCCTTGCACTCTGGCCAGTTTCAGCCAGAGCATGCACCTGGCCAGCAGTCTGGAAGGAGCCAGCATTCTACCAGTCTGTTTAGAGATGACATGTTCTGCTTCAATATGAAGTTCTCTTTGTTCCCCCGTTTGCTGGTGAACTCTAACTGCACCTCCTGTGCCGCTCTTGTGTTCAGTCCTCTGCTTGCCTAGGGCAAGGAATTTTGGGCTTTTGATGGGCTTATAAAAGAGCATCAAACAGTATACATTTCTCAGTAGCATTATCCTTAAAGAGGGTGGGTGAGTAGATTTTTGCCCCTGGGCTGGTTACCGTGTTCAAAATGGGTAGTAAAGACATACTTAAAACAAAATAAAAGTGATGTGCCTCCTTGTGTGTTATTAATAACCTATTAAGTATTACAAATCAATTGTACCTGTCACCACCGATGCTGCTTGGTTTTTATTTTTTCATTTTGCTCAGTTTGGACAATGAAAATCAACTCATCAATTTCACACTTATAATTTCCTGGTCCGTTTCACTTTGTGGCTCTTATGCATTAGCAGGATACTGCAGTGTTTGATTTGCAAAGACTGTAGGGAAATGTTAAAACTCAAACAAAACAAATCCTATTTTTACTGGAATAAATAAAGAAAGAAAATGTGTTCTACCTTTAGATTCTGTGACACTTCAGTTTTAGACCTAACTCTACCTTGGTATTGTCCCTTTGATATTCCCTTGCAGCGAGTGGGATGCCATGGTGTACCCTATGCAGCAGCATAGCATAAGCATTCTACCTTGTGCCTCTGGTCTATTTCGCTGCAATTGAAGGGGTTCAGCAGTATTAAAACAGGAGAGAGATTGGTTTCCAGCCTTTAATACTGTGCTCCCCTCAGAGCAGGTGTCACGGACAAGGTGGCTCTCAGCACAGAGTGATGGCTGGCCGGCAGCTGGAGACATGGGAATGCCAATTTTAATTTTTTTTTTTTTAATTAAAAACATGTGAATCTTTCAGAGCTCTGATCCAAATGAGTGCAGTAGTTTTCTTTTTATAGGAAAAGAAGACAGAAGAGTTCTTCTCTGTGGTGACTACAGACTAGAGGAATTCTCTAGTGAGTTTCCACTTCACGTAGTACCCAGTCCATAAGCCAAGGGGCCTGTTCCTTTTTCCCTCTAAAAATCTCTCTTGTCTTTTGTGTCCCAGCAGGTACAACAGGTTCAGGTGTTTGCTGACGTGCAGTGTACAGTGAATCTGGTAGGCGGAGACCCTTACCTGAACCAGCCTGGTCCAGTGGGCTCGCAGAAAAGCACGACAGGTCCTCAGACCCCTCAGGCCCAGCAGAAGAGCCTCCTTCAGCAGCTACTGACTGAATAACTGCTTTTAAAGGAATGTGAAATTTAAATAATAAGACATACAGAGATATATAAATATATATATATTATATATTTTTCTGAGATTTTTGATATCTCAAACTGCAGCCATTCTTCAGCTCGTAGTGTTTGGAGCAAAAGTTTTTTTTGTTTTGGGGTTGTTATTTTCTTTTTGTCCTTCGGGTGGTTTTTGTTTGTTTGTTTGTTTTTGTAAAAGGCGTTGGATGTTGGCAAAGCGACAAGGCAGGACAGTCGGTTTCTTGAGCCAAAATTACAGATGATTCTTATTTTTGTAATCAGTTGCTGGCATCTTACTCCAGACGAAGGTTTCTCGGGGAAGTGGGGAAGGGGATGGAGGAAGAAGCGAGTTGAAAGAGACTGCTTCGGAAGGAGGACGATCATCTCAGTTTCAGCTGGATCTGTCACTGATTCGTGTCTCAGCCCAGTGGGAAGGTGGGGAATTGACACCAGACTTCTATCAGAAAGGCTGTTTTTATTCATGCTTAAAAAACCCAAACACCTTTTCTCCCTTCTGCCCCAGTCCGCTTGTGCGTACAATCAGCTTTTTCTAGCAATCGTGAGTTTGTCAGTTTTAAAGAAAAACAGAGAGTATTTTGACCCACCATTTTCCCCATGTTTTATGCTGGTGTTTAAAGCCTCCTAGCGAGAGAGGCCACAATGTGTATATTACATTGGGGGAAAACAATAATAAAAAGACAAAAAAAAAGAACAGTTTGGGGGGAAAAGCTGCAATAATTTTTAGGGGGAAGGATGGGGAGGAGGCGGGAGGGTTCTGTCAATTGTAGATAAAAATTTTCTGATTAAATATTAAATAAAATTAAGCAGTTGGTTTTTTCTGCTTTGATTGTGCTTAACAGCTGAGGTAGCTTAAACTATTTAAAATAATAATAAAAATAATGAAAATTCAACTCTCTGATGGGAGATAGCTTATTTTTTCCCCCTCAAACCTGTCACTGTACATAGCTCTGATCTCTTATGTAAATTTGTTTTCTTCCTTTAGCTGCGATCGCTCTTAATATCACCGCTTTTTATTTGATTTATTATTTTTTTCCCTTTTTCTAAAATTATGCTGGTGGTGTGGAAAATGTATAGCTTTGTTGACTGAATTTGCAAGAGATAAAAACAAAGAAATCGAGATGACAGCTAACGTTGTACTGCTTTCTGATGACTGTGCTATGAATGTGCTATTATGTGGATTTTCCCTCTCTTGCGGTTGGAGGTGGATGGGGCAGGTCTAGTTTTCAGAGGTACTGAGCATTCATTGTTCCCACTAGTCCATAGGAGCTGCAGGAGCGCTCAGCACTTCTGGAAATTGGCCCTCTAAGCTCCGAAGGACTAGTTCATTCTGCCCCACAGAACAGCCTGGTCCAGCTCCAGTGGGAGGCTTGGCTCTACCAAAAGCCCACAGGGGGTGTTGTAGTTGCCACCACTAGAGAGAAGAAGGGTTCCTGCCCTGCCCCTCAGGCAGTCACCAGGAAAATGGGCGATGTGAACCGAAGGCAAGTCTGCGAAGCTCTCAGCTTGAGCCCAAAGGGGTCTAAGCCAGTTAGAGAATGTGTCCCTCTTCTCCCAGAGGGGGAAAGACCAGAACTTTCAATACAGACCAGGAATGCCCCAGCCATTAGTGTCACTCCCCGAGGAAATACACTCAATTCCCTGTGACCACAGCCAGAAGCTGTCCAAGGAGATTTCTTCACCACATTTGACTTGAGATCCAAACCTCCATATCCCCTCCCCATGCAGGATTTTTACCAGTCACAGATGGGGAACTGCATGTCCGGTTCTGTGCACCAATGGTCATCCTAATATCGACACGTTGCAGCTCCCCCAAGCTGAGTGTGATGAACAAAGGCACCCTCAGACAAGAAGGGATCTGTGATAGCCCGTGTAGGAGACTGGCTAATGAAATCTGGAGCAGAAATGGCAGCTCCATCCAGGACGCTAGAAGTCTTCCAAACTATAGGGGCTCTGGCCATCTGGACTCAGGTGATATGATACCACACTCTCGTAGGACGAGTTGCTTTGTGCCAGGAGAGGTATATCGAAATCATGGATCTGATGAGAGAGCCAGTCCAACACTCACAGTATTCACTGTGTCCAGGTGGTGTGAGCCTTATTGGGATGCTAGTTCCCTACCTCACCAGGGACTGCAGCGTATGTATTCATGCTACAACAGTACATGGCACATTACAAGACAGAGGCACCCTGCTGAAATAAGTACGAGCCTCAGACTGTGCAGGGGGAAGAGCTGACAGAAGTGAATTCCCTTTGGATCTATTCCCCTACATTCAATCACTGGGGCAAGCTTTAGAATGTGGGGCAGCTAAGAGAGACACCACAGTACAGAGCCAGTGCCATTCAGATGCCTGGTGCCACACGTACTGTCCTCTCTGTGGGCAGAGCCAAGAAGTTCTTCAATGGGAACCCTGTCTCAGTATATACATGGCTGCTGCCCTGTCAGCTCCTTAAACCAAGGACTTCCCATGCCTCCTTATTCATGCCCTACCCTCCACTTCCTATACTGCTCCTGGTTGTACAGGAAACCTAAAGAGGCACAGCTGCAGGACAAGAACGGTGCTTCTAGTGCAAGGCCGTCCATACAGAATGCTCGCCAGTCCTCACACAGGGGCTGCCCTGTCCAGAACTGCAGAAGGTATTCAGGCAACTATGCAAAAAGCCACATGTCTGAGTCCTGTCAAAAGCTCATGGGGTAAAGTTTGGGTCATGTTCTGTGTGAAGACCAAGGAATCCCAGCTAAGAGCCTGGTAGGATTCTTTGTTAGCCCAACCCAGAACATTAGACCAAGGGTCAATTTCTGAACTCCCCTGTGGAGCCTAAAGTTGGTATTAGATAGAGACACTAGCCTTATCCCCACTGCATGTGGAATACCTCTGGGATTTCTAGCCCTTCCTTGCCTAACCATCAAAACCACTTCCACAGCCTCCCTAGCCTCAGCGATGAAGGCAGAAGACTAGCCTTTTTAGTTCTCCACAGGGCCTTTTCCTTGCTTAGCCTCCAAGTTTCATCTAGCACTAGAGATCTTGCCAAGTTTTCAGCTCAAGGAACCAAAGAAGTCCCTACAATTTCCATGCGTCAATGGAGCTGAATGGATTTTAGTTTGAACTGAAGTTACAGAGCCCAGATGGGTAGAATGCCCAATGCAAATTAGGGCTCCCTTCTAGAAGGGTGAAGCAGTCTGATGGCTGAGCACCTAAGAATTTCCATATGCAGCTTCACCTAACACTGAGGAAGGATGGCCTTGTAGTTAAAGGCACAGGCCTGGGTTCCTGGCTCTGCTGCAGGTTTCCTATGCAGCCTTGGTGGATTACAGTATCTGACTAACTTCCTAGGAGAAACAGCTCTTTAATCTAGTGGAGAAAGGTAACACAAGAACTGATGGCTGGAAGCTGAAGCCAGACCAATTCAAATTAAACAAAAGGCGCAAATTTGTACCAGTGAAGGGGATTAGTCATTGGAACAAACTACCAAGGAATGTGGTGGATTCTCTTCAAATCAAGACTGGCTACCTGACGGGAAGATTTGCTTTAGCCAAGCGGAAGTTACTAAATTCAGTACAGGGGTAACTGGGTGAAATGTAATGGCCGGTGCTATCCAGGAGGTCAGACTAGATGATCTGATGGTCCCTTCTGGCCTTAGAATCTATGAATCTGAAATCACCTAGGCCCAAATTGTCAAAAGCAGCCTCGAATGCTGAGAGCCTGGATTGTGGGGCTGCTAGGGCGGGATTCCAGTGGGCCTGCAGTGCTTAATGACCTGCGTTGGTGTTTGAGTGCTGAGCGCCTCTGAACATCCAACCCTGGGTGTCTAAAATGGGGCTCCTAAAAAACAGACACACCCAAAATTAAAGGCCACTTTTTGAAAATGTGGACCTTAATCTCTCGGCCTCAGTTTCCCCATCTATTAAGGTAAATGTATTCTGTGCATTGCAGTACCACCCACCACGTGCTAGGTGCTGTCAATACACAGCTCCCTGCCCCCAATAAGCTCACAATCTAAGAAACCAAGCCACATCCGTGAGGGTGGGGGAGATGGATAAAAAAATGCAGGCAGAATAAAGACCACCACTCCCAAATGTGTACCTCAACTGGCTGATCTGTGGGCAATGTGGCAGAAATGGGTCTCGAGGGATCTGCAGGAGTGTTGATGTCCTACCTGTTTCCCCAGGATGTTGTGAAGCTACACTTGTCAGGCTGGAGATTTGCAGGCCGTGGATGGAAAGTGCTATAGAAGGAATGATGATGATTATCGTCAATCTATGATGGCTATTAATACAGTGCTAATCCTCTTATCTCTGCTCTTACTATATGCTGCTGCTATTGTACCTAGAACTCATCTGTCTGGACCAGTGGCAACTCAAATCCCAGCAAGAACATGTTGCCTGGTAAAATCCCAATGTTTCTGGAACTTGGGGTCCCAATCCAGAACCTGGCCCTAGGTTTAGTAGTCAACAAGCCAGAGAGGTTAGAGAAGGATTTTTCCCTTTCTCCTTCTGCTTCATAAGGCTAAGGAAGATCTCAATGGGAGAAGAGAGGGGGTGGACACAGATGATAAAGAAGAGGGTACCCAAAAAGTTCTGTGATAGTTGGTGGCTCTGCCTGATTAACAGGTGTCAGGTGGGAGCTGATACGGTGGCTGGATTAGGGGCTTCCCATTCAATCTCCAGATGAAAGCTACTCTTGCCTTTTAGATGCTGTGGTCAGTTGCCACTGCTGTCTGGAAGGGTCTGTGTCTGGTACCTGCATGTGTGACATCAGTGCGCGCTTTCCCCAGCCCTCCATTTCCTCTGGCATGGCCAAAGCCTAGTGACCAAAGGAATTTCCAAACGCTGCCTCAATTCCTATGCTGTAGTGTAGGAGTGCGTTCTGTGGGGTCGTAGGAGGGGGGTGAGAAATATAAATACCATTCAGCTCATGTCCTTTCCTAGTTCTGTCTTGAGCTACTCAGGTGTGAACAGTTCCTGTAGGGCACCCCATTGCTCGCTGAGTTCAGTGTCCTGTGTGCAAAACACCCATGGGAGCTCAGCGAACTTGGTAATTAAAACCAGCTGTGAGCAGCAGTTCCTTGCCCAGGCCCGTTTTAAGGATCTGAGATAAGATACCAGTAGTGCGGGGCTGGGCTTATCTTTTAACACAGCTGTAAATAACCATCTCATGGTGATGTGTGCACACACAGTGCAGTTCCTTGCTGACTTGTCTCTCTGCACTGGTCTCTTTCCAGTCCTGTTGGACACCTGCCCCAGAAGGCAGTGTAGTCTAATGATTAGTGTGTTGGGGCGGGGGGTTTCCAGGATTCTTGCATTCCAGCCCCAGCTGTGCTACTGACCAAAGCGGGAGACCGGTGGCAGGCAACCAGAAACCAGTGACTACAGGGGCCCACACCCATTATATGTGCCAACCTACCCAGTTCAGAGCAGTCTCGTTTCCTGGCCAATCAGCCATCTTTAAAAAACATATTTCATTTTGTTTGGCATTTCATGACTGCAACATGGCACTGCATGTGCACGATACTGTGTGGTGCTAACACCAAAATGCCTCCAGACCTAGTTGGCAGCTAGAAATGCATCTTAGGATCTCTAACGCGAGACATGATTATGAAGACTGCTGCCCAGAGGAAGTGTATAAATGCAAAAGACCAACAGATCCCTGGCATAGGTCCCAGAAACTGTTTGGCCAAGCTCTGGGATATAAAGACACTAAGAATATACTTTGATTCCAGCTAAGT